GGGGGAGCCGGCCAGCCACTGCAAAGGAGCCTGACCAAGCAGGTGCCAGGCCCAGGAGTGACAGCCCCGAGGAGCCTCACATCTGGGTGACACTGCCATGGGCCTCCTTCTCCCACAGCCTCATGGTGGCTGACCAGAGGCCAGGCTGGGCACGCTCAGAGTAAGACATGCAGGCTTGGGGCAGGCAGCAGCTCAAACAGCAGAGCCCAGCTGCCCTGTTAGGTTCCCCAGGGCTGAGGCTGGAACTCAGCTCCAGTGTCTTGCACCCCATAGTATTGACCTCTCCTCTCCCCAAGTGGGCCTGCCGGGGGGGGGGGGGGGAGGCACAAGTGGGGGAGCCTCGCTGCAGTTCAGACAAACCCAGGAGGCGCTGGAGAACATCTGCCGCCAAACCCACCTCAGGAGGCGGCCTCTGGGCAGGACGTGTCGGCTGGGCCCCAGGCCCCTCATGAAGCTCTGACTGCTGAGGCTGTCCAACCAGGAAGGGGCCACATCTGGGGTGGGGAGCAGGCACACCAAGATCTCAGATGTGTAGCACTGGCGTCCAGAGGGCTGGGCAGCTCAGGCGGGAGCTTCACCCTCACCCCGAGCTGAAGCCGGAGGTGGAGATAGAGAGGGCACAGGCTCTGCCGCAGGGAGCCAGGCTGGGTGCTGCAGAGGTGGCTGGACACCCTTGTGTCAGAGGCCAGCCCTCACACTACGCTGACTCCAACTCCAGGGGTGACACCTGGCCTGGCACACCTGCTCCACACCCTCTGACAGCCCCACCCCACTGAGCCAGACCCCAGGAAGTCCAGTCTGCAGCACGACGGGACAATGACCCTGCCCTTGGCTGCACGGCCACAGGCAGGCCACGGACGGGCATTTGGGGAGCCTGGCAGGTGGTGGCTTGCGGAGCTGCTACTGGAAGCCTAAGCCAGGGGTCTCCGTGGGGAGTGCTGGTCCACAGCCACACCGGGCATCAGCGCTGGTTCCCAGGGCCGTCGGCCTCGCTGTCGCTGCGCTGAGACAGCTCTGAAGGGCTCTCAAGGCGGTGCAGGTCCAGGAAGCTGGCGATGAGCCTGGCCACAGCCTCCACTTGGGGCCACCAGCCCCAGGGAAGGAGGGGACCTTGGCACAGGGTGCGGCGGCCAGCAGGGCCCAACGCCCGTCATCGCTGGCCACCCCCAGCTGTCCCCAGGGCTCCCAACCTGTGTGCAGTGTCTTCTATCTTGGTCCCACCAGTTCTCAGCCCCGCCCTCTGTCCCAGTGGGGACACCTGACTGCCCTACTGTGCGGCTGTGACAGGGCTGCCGGACCCCGTCCACCCTTCCCGGTGGCCCATCCCCGCAGCTGCCCATGACCCTGTGTATGGCAGGCAGCCTGGCCAGGGCACAGCCACCCCTGCAGAGCCTTACCCACGGTGGCCTATGACTGCACTCTGGGTGAGCGGGTGGGAGAAGCCTGTGGCGAAGCGGAGCACCACCATGTAGCCCTTCCCGAAGTACCGCACTGTCTCCTGCTCCACGTTCACGTCTCGCAGGTCACACAGCTGGGCCACCACTGTGGAGAACAGCTGAGTGGCTGCGCCATCCCCGGCCTGTCTGTGCCCCAGAACACAGCACACTGCTGGCGTGGCCACAGCATCCACCCACTGGTCGAAGCATTGCAGGCGGGTAGGTCACTAAACAGCCTCGCCCGTCAGGATCACCAGGTGCAACACTGCCACCTTGGTGTTGCCTGTCGGGTCACCACGCGACACTGCCACCTCGGTGCTGTGCTGTCTTGCCCAAGGCAGGGAAGGTACCCTGGCCTGCCGTAGCTGCTCAGAAAAGCCCCTTCTGGGCCAGCAGGTGGCATGGTGGTTAAGGGCATGAGACTCCCACATGGCCCGCTGCAGTTTGAGTCCCAGAGTTGGCAGCTTGCTTTCTCACTCCCCACTCTGTCCTTCTCTGGTCAAATTGAAATAAATGAAGTTAAATACGATAATTCTTAAAAAAAAAAAAAAAAAAAGTCACTTGTTGGGACCAGCAGATAGTGAAATGGTTATGTCACTGGACTCCCACAGTTGACCACGGTTCAAATATCAGACCTGGTGGCTTCAAACTCGTGCTGTGTATGCCCAAAGTCCCAAGGAGAATGGAGAAGGGACTGCAGTATGGCCACCCCCAGGTGCTATTTCTGGCTCTCTGGCGACTGCACAAGCCCTATAGTAAACATCTCTATTCAAAAACAAAGAAAAGCCAAGTCACCTCTTCAGGTACTAGGGCACCTGAGGCCGCTGCCCCCGTGGCCACCGGAGTCTCCATACTGCCTGCCCCACAGCCCAGAGCCACACCTGCAGCTTCTCCCAGGATGCCCAGTGCTGGCTCCCAGCCCAGCAGGGCTGCCAGCGCTGCCAACCCAGAGCCAGGTGCACCGAGGGACTCCACTGGGAGAAGGCCGGCAGGACCCACTTAAAAGCCCATGAGAGGGGTTTGTGTCTGCACGTGGCCCCACACACCCAGCAGACAGCGGGGTCTGGGCGTCTGTGGGGACCTGCAGGACAGCTCCCAGAAGGTGAGGCCTGCCCAGCCTCTCCTCGCAGGCCCAGCACAGACGGGAAATGGCCAGGGTCTGGGAGCAGCCAGGGAGCACCTCTGGAGCGGAGAGGCTTAAAGCTGCTTC